GTACAGCGTTTAAACAGTCCCCATGACACATTTTATGGTTTGTTTTTTCTTCAAATTTTCTTCTCCAGAGGACTCTTCAGTTACCCAATGTATTTGGCACATCTTAGACTTGATCTATAAACCACATTTAGGGGCACAGGAGGCCTGTGGAAAGTGTGGTCCTGCTTGTTCTTGGCTTCTGTTAGGATTAATCCTGACAAGAACGTGTGTGTGTGTGTGTGTGTGTGTGTGTGTGTTTACTATAGGAGCTGTCTTATGAGGAAAACTGAGAAGAATTCAGATTGCCTGATTTTTCTAAGCATGGTGATTTAGTGATGATACTAGAAGACTGACTGGGTTCTCCTTGGCAGAACTAAACCAGACCCATAGCCCTGGCACCTGTCCTTTAGGGAGAGGCTTTGTTCCTTGTGCAGAGAAGGGACTTTGATGCAGTTTTGACTCCTTAGGGTTTGCAAAGCCACCTGGTCTAGCCACACTGAATCTTTTGATCGTGCATGAGCTGGTCCTGATGGTGACTGGCTTAGCATTCAGCTAAAGTAGGAGGGAAATGATGTTTACCAGCATCAGAGGAAGAGGATTGAGAAATGGGTCTTTCCCCTACAGTGCACTGGGCTGTCTGTGAAACCATGTCTTGAGGAAGTGGTCTTGAGAGGCAGGGGAATGCAGGTGTAGGTGTGCTGGACAAAGCATGGACATTGGCGGCAGGGAGGCAGGAGTTCGAATCCTACGTTTGTTAAGGCTTGACTATGGGCAAACTGTTCAATGGCTCTGAGCCTCAGTTTTCTCATCTCTAATGGGATAAGAGAGACATTTAACTCCTGATGAGCTGGAAAGTTATTTGGCTGGAATCTTGAATCCCTACTGCCTACCGGCTGCCTGAGGCTGTTGCAAGTTTAGGAGGGAGACTTACAGAGGGGACACTGGAAAAAACCTTCTATTTGTTACTGCAAGGCCTTGGTCGCAAACTCCTGCGGAATTTTCTGGTAAGTGAAACTGGACCATTCTGAGACCTGAGGGCTCCTTGTGCGTAAATTACAGGCCGCCCTATGCAGCCCTGGAAGGTGTTCCTTCTGTACTTCTCAGGATGTGGCACCAGTTTTATTGCACCAGCTGCACGTAGTTTTAGAGTCTAGAGAGGGAACGGACTGAAGAGGGGGCTCTATGCTGTCTAATTTCCACTTACCCCTACCCCCTGCTGGCTGCCCCTCCATTTTCTGTCCTTCTCTGAACTGCTCTTTGCCTGGGAAGCCCACCTCTGTGCCCTGCCTCACCCGGACTCCCTTGGTCCCTGGAGTCATCGGGTTTGACCAGGAGGTACAGAGAGGTACAGAGTAGGAGGTACAGAGAGAAGACTGGAGGAAATAAGGAGAGCGTGGTCAGAGAATCTATTGCCTTGGCTTTGTCCCTGCTTCTGCATGGTTCTGGTGGTGGCCGGGCTCTTCTCCAGGCATGGCTCCTGGTGGATGGTCCCTCTTCCAAGCCTCCAGCTCCCCACTGCGCTCAGAAACCACTATTCCTCCCTCTCCCCTTCAGGTCTTAGAGTAGTGAGGGGTTCCTGCTGTTGCTGCTCCTTGGATATCTCAACACCCCTACTTGGTTCTTTTAACCCCACTTGCACCTCTGAATGCGGTTCTTCCTTCAACTCTGTATAGTGAAATTCTTTTGAGTGAGCCCTGCTGCTTCCTGCTTTGACTCTGGCCCATTGCCAAGAGAGCAGAACCCATACAGACCTTGGTATGTGGCCCCAACTGTGACCTCTTCCCTTGCCATACTTATGCAACATCCTAGCACTTCTGATATGTCCATACCAATGCTCCTTCTGGAGTTGGGGGTGATGGGAGAGGCACTGCTTTTTCTGAGGATACAATAAGGTACATACTAAAAGGACCCAGCATGGTGCCATTACTACTGGTGCTGGCACTAAGGAGGCACAGAGTAAATGAATGGTGGCTGCTGGTATCATTTGCACTGGTTGATGATCTCTCAAGAAACAAGAAATAAAGCATGAGGACAGCAATGTAGTTGATGGCTTAGGATTGCTTTTCAACGCCCATTTCAAGGCTGTCGTTATGTTGTCTGAGGGATGAATTGGATTTACTGGCCCTTTTTTGATTCTGCAAAGGCACAAATCTCTAAGGATGCTTTTTCCCCTCTTTTTATAATTATCAAAGATAATTCCATAGATTGTTACATTTTCGTGGGTATTGATGTCAAAAATCAGAAGGCTGGAGGGAAGAAGATCAGTTGAGAAGAATACATTCTTTCATTAAAAGTGTTGACTGGGAGCTAGCACAATGCAGCCTGTAGCATGAGATCATCAAAGATGCTAGCTTCATATAGTACAAAACATTTAGTCAAGTCTGACCAAATATTATCAAAAATTAGGTTATCTCAGAGAAAAACCATTCAAACAACATGATTATTTTGCATCATGGAGACAAAATAAATGTGGTTTTGATTTTATATGGAAAGAACCTACAGAGATCACCTATTGCTTTTGACCGCCCATCAACCAAGCTTTTGTTTTTCAGGCCTGGCACCTTTATCCTCCTTTGGGAAATGACTTCTTACTCACCCTCAGTTCATGTGATTTAGGTGGGGCTGATACTGTCTCTAGCTTTAAGGGTGGACATGTGATGTAGGCATGGCTAATGGGAACACCACACCTCCTTGGCCAATCATTGATTGAGGGTTAGGCTCATGAGTCAAGCAGGACCACTCAGAGCCAAAAGGCTGTCATCCCTAGGTCTTTTGCTGGGACTATTGAGAAAGAGAAATATATGTATTTTTTCCTGTGGAGGCTGAAAAATGCAAAGCTGGAGCTCTTGGTGGCTATCTTTGCCACAAAGGCAAGAATGCACACTGGGAAGAGCTGATCTGTGAGATGGGGAGATATAACATACTGGTGATAAAGAATGCATACTGAGATCTGGCTCTATAATTTTATGTTATTTCAGTGAGTTTCATTTTTCTTGAGCCAGCTTGAGTTTGATTCTAGCAGTTATAATCTAAAGAGTCTTGACTGATGTACAGGATGGTCATATGGTCTTTTTGTTGTTATCTCTCTCTCTCTCTCCACATGTAAAAATTGTGGGTGAAAAGAAGTTGTCACTGATGAATTCATCACATTCTTTATTGAGTACCTATTAAAATGGGCGTTATATTCAGTCCTGGAATATAAAGATGAATAGGATAGATACACAAATGGAGAAATACATGAGCAGAACAACGATGAAACTATTGTGAAGCATGTGAATTAAGAACCCAGGATGATGATTAAGAGAATAGACTCTGATGCCAGATTGTCTGGGTCTACTGTGCCTGTAATTATTGACTTAACACATTTATTAACCTCTCTGTCTCTCAGTTTCCTCTTCTGAAAATGGGCAGAATAATTGTTGTGAGGACCAACTGAGATAATACACACAAAGCAGTTGAACCAGTGCTCAGTAAGTGTTCACGACTGCTACCATGACTATGCACTAGTTCCCAGATGGTAAGGAAGACATGTGGGGTCATCTATGATTCCCCTGGGGCATAAGGGAAGAGGAAAATTAGAGAAAAGCTAGTAACTTTTGAGCTGAGTCTTGAAAGATGAGCTAGCCAGGCAGACAAGGTCAGCAATGGCTTTATGAGCAACTGAAACAGCGTGTGCAAACTTCTCAGGCATGTAACAGCAAGGCATCCTAGAACTGGATGTTGGTAGGTATCTTGCAATTGCTTGGATTATAGGTTGCATATGGCGACTTTTTGAGATGTGACTATAAAAGAAAGCAGAGGCTAGATCTCAAGGGGCTTAATGTGCCTTGCTAAAGGGTGTTTGCATTAATATTAGATAAGATAACACCTTTTGCAAGTGATCGAATATCCACATCAAAAGGGCTTAAATAAAAATGGCATTTAATGGCTACCATAACTGAAAAGTCCAAAGCAAGAGCTGCCTATAAGCATGTCTATCTAGCTCAGGGTTCAAAGGATGACTCCAAGACCTATTTTTCTCCCTTAATCTCTGTTTCTCTATTTCATTTGCTTGTTGCTCCATTCTCAAATGGTATTCTGCTTTGTGATGGTGAGATGGCTGTTAGAGGCTCACAGGCTTGAGTCCAATGGGACAAAATGAGATTCTCTTCTAGAGAAATCCCAGCAAAGTCTCATTGACTCTGCTTGAGTTACATAAACCAATTATTTTGGTGAGTGGAATGCGATGGTCTGATTGATCAGGCCCAAGATTTATAAACTGCGAGAGTCACTTCCACTCAGAAACTCAATGACTTAGTATGTAAAAGAGAGAGGTCTTTCAGAAGGAAGTTGGGTATGAATACCAGAAAAGAGATATGCAATGCATTCCAGATAGCAAAAACCCAAAGAAGTTCAAAACACCCTTTATATTGTAAGGATTGGAGGGCCACTGCTTGGCTTGAAGCTGTGGAGTGAAATGACCACATTTCTACTTTAGAAAGATAGATCCAACTCAGTGTGGAGAACGGGTTGGAAGGTTGTGGCTGGAGGAAAGAGTCAGTTAAAGTTTTTTTAACTCTTCCAGAGAAGTGATGATGAGTATAGGAGTGGAACCTTGGCATTAGGAATGGAAAGGTGCAATGACTCAGAGATGTACATGGAGGGGCTACAACCATAAGAGTTCAAGAAAAGTTCAGTGAGGAAGGGAAGGAAGACATCTAGAATGTACCTTAAGTTTTGGCTTTGGTAACAGAGTGGGTAGTGATGCCATTTACTGAAAGTGGAGCTACAGGAGGTGAGAGAGAGGAAGGCATAAAACAACAAGTAGCTAACATCTAAAATGTATTTATGTCCCTGATCTTTTTCACAGAGTGGCACAGAAAAAGCATATTCAGAGCTTATGGAATCTTTTTTTCACCACAAACAACATCACTCACAATGATGAATGAGCTGGGAGTGCCCTTTTGCATGCACAGGTGAAATGAAACACACGTGTTCTATAAGTGTGTGACACAGGTACACGCAAGGTCACGTACACACAGTTTTGTATTAACCTCAGTCTCTGTTTTTATTTGTTTTTTTTTGTGTGTGTGTCCTTTTCTTCATACTTGTTTCTTACTAATGTGTTCTTTCTGTATTTTGTCTATCTTTGTAAGTGGTTTTAAATCCTTCTGGAACAAGATGGTATACAGTCAGTAAATATTTCTTAATACATATTCATTACAAGTCAGCCCTTCCAAAGAATGACTGGAATGAGACTTACAATCTTTTAAACCAAAATCGTTCTTCTACTTCCTTTACACAGATATCCACCATGGTGCATAAATTGTGTCTGTTATTTTCTTTTAGGAATAAAAGACACCTGCATTTGCTTAAGAGTTTATCATTTTAATACCAAAATAGCTTTTCCTTTCCCACTTTAGTTCTCTGATCCTCATCTCCATCCCACCACTTATTTCAAATTAAAATTCATCTCCGGACCTAGAACCAGCTAAGGAAACTTCTGTTTAAAAAGGCTGCTCAAAATAGGCTTTGTAATGAAAGAAACATTTGAAAGATAAGTAAGTAAACAATGTCCAAAAAAGAAAGAGAATACATTAATGGATGATGATCAGAAGAAAATTTAAATTATATGACAATCTTGTGGGTCATGACCATCTGCAATAACTTCTCCATTTCCAGTTTCTCCAGCAAATCCTACTGTCTTCAAAGGGCCCGTATTTTGATGTTCCTCAGGTTGGCTTCTTCTGTTGGCTGTTTATTAAGCTTCATAGCCTGGAATTCCAGGTTCAGCTGTTATCTAGAGGCAGGTGACTATCTCAAACCACCTTTGGTTTCTCTTCTTTATTTCATCTTCATTGCCCTTGGTCTCACAGACCTACATCTCGACTCAGAATGAGAGCAACAAGAGGACAAAGCATGGCAGGCAGAGAAAGATGATGGAAGCAAGATAGTCTGCAAGATGGGAGAAGCAAGCATTGCCTTACACAGAGCTGCTTGATTATTGTGAATTTCACCTCTGATCATGGCAGCACCCAGCTCAGCAAGACACAGGGGCTCCACACCTTCCTATGAATAAAGTTCCTAATACCCAGGCTGGTATTTGAGGCTCTTCTAAATATGGCCAATGGATTCCTTTTCTGGGTCTCCGTTCTCACCTTCATGCTTTATCCTCATTATTACCTCCGTCTGAAGTGCCCTTTCCCCGACTCGGGCCTCTTCAAGTCCCATTTATCGCTTAAGGCCCAGGAGGCAGAGAAGACTTCCCTAGCTCTCCTCTCTCATCTCCTAATTTGGGCATAAGCATTTCCACATCAGCATTCCTTTCACAGCATTTTGTCTCTATCTGCACTTTAACACTTAGCATATTTTAGCATGCTCATTTCCAGAATTATAGGTATTTTGTGTGTGTGTGTGTGCATGTCATTTCCTTTCTTGTATCCTTAGAAATTTGATGGCAGAGGCTATGCCATATTCATCTTAGTGTTCACCCACCTTCACAGAATCCAGTATAGTGATTCACACATAGGAGGCCTTAAGAAATATTTCTTAAGTGAATGAGCAGAGAGAGGAATGCATGAAAAGGAGGATTAGAAGATACCAAAGTGAGAGAATCAGGGAATACTATTACTATTAGCCAAGGGAGGGGCAGACAAAAGAATTATGGATGAGATTACCTGAGGAATTACAGTTCAGGGGGAGCAAGATGCTGACACTAAGAGAAGTGGGACAAAGAGAGGGGTGAGTCTTGGAGGGACAGCTCTTTGCTCAGGCATTTGGGCTGTCTCCCTTCTCCTCCTGTTCATTCCTCCTATCAGCTCACTTGTAAATCAGTAGACTTATGCTTTGCTTTATTTTGACTAAATACGTAGGAAATCCGTGAGACACAATGTCTTGATACAATGTAAAGCAGTGTTCCTATTTGTGAGAAAACTAAGAGGACGAATATCTGTCCTGGGAAACTATCATGATAAAGGATTTAGGAGAATAAGCTACTGGCTGGTCTCAGCAACTTGTTTCTCTCCATTTCCAACACCCATCCCAGGCCTCCTCTATCTCTCAGCTTTTCCCCCCTTCCTGATGGCAAATACAGATGGTGTTTTGAGGATGGGATGGGGAAAATGCAGCTGGCGAATTCCTTGTTTCCTTTGCATCTTTCCCAGCTACTTAGACACACACACTTTAGCATGCCTAGTGTTCCCCACTGTGTAAAACCTTCACTGGCCCCGACCCCCAGGAATAGCAGGTCCTATGTACCTCCAGCATTGAGTCAATCTTTTTGCCATGGCGCTTATCATACTGCATTGTGGTATATGCTCATCACACACTAGCCTGTGTGAAAGTAGGGATTTTGTCTTAACTCATTAAATCTGACCCAGCATCATAGTGTCTGGTTCATACAGGCTCAGTAAAGAGTTGTTGAGTGAATATATACAAGTATGAAGGAATGAATAATAAAACATTAAAAAATATCACTTCACTCTAGCTTGCTCGAAATTACTCAGCATCTCTTACCTTTGGTTTTTGGCTTACTATAGCCTTTTGAGAATTATCAAAGACTTTGTCTGGGACTTTATGATTCTCTTAAATAACGAGAAAAAATGTAATTTTTTGAAGATTTAATGAGACAAATATCATTGCCAGCTGGTTTTACCACTCAGGGAATTTAATAGGAAATTTGTTAACATTGTCTTTAATTTGTTAAATATTTATGAACATCGCATTGAAGAGAATTCATATCTGGGGTTATTGTTTTATATAATTCATTTTGATGTGGTTTCAACTATTTGGTGGTTCATCTTGTTTTAATAGATTCTGCTAGAACTGTTTGTAAATGCTCTGGAATCTGAGTGGGAATCTCTTTGGATCTCACTTCTGCTTATTCTAAATTCCAGGGCCCCAGATTAAATCAAAGTGTCTGCCTCAAGGATCTTGAAACATTCAGGTCAACAGTCCTGATCACAGCTCATCGTCTTCTGATATGGAATCTAGATAATCTGTGTCAACGTACAGAAGAAATCCAGAGAACAAGCTGTCTGCCCAACCTGGGTCTGAGAAGAGGCCGTTCTGGTCAGTGAAGAAGATCTCCAGCCAGACCTCGTCTTCTGGCTGTAGATAGATGACTGTGGACCCCGAAGCCACATCATGGTTCCCTGTGTTGGCGTCGAAGGTCTTTATCCGGTACTGCCCATTATGTACCAACCCAATTGCCAGATGCTTATTTGCCAATGTGATATCATAAGAAAAGTAATAGATCCCTGGGAAAGCACAGATGAACTTCCCTGTTGCAGGGTTGTAGTGCTCTCCCTCATTGAAGAGGACCTTGTTAAAGATAATTGGTAGCCTTTCTTCTGGGTAGCTGGTTGTGATGCCAACAGAAAAGGCAGATTTGAGCACGATGCTTCCACATTTACAAACTCCAGGCAGCCCTGGGTCCCCTTGCTCTCCTCTGTCTCCCTTTGGTCCAGGAGGCCCAACTGGACCTATTTCTCCTTTTTCTCCCTCTGGTCCCATGGGACCTTTCTTCCCAGTCTCTCCTTGGTCCCCTTTCTCTCCAGCAAGGCCCAGTGGTCCAGTCTTACCTCTCAAACCTTTAAAAAGAGTTTATAGTTTGATTAATAGTTCCTCTAAATAGAGTCACAAACAGCATGCCCACATAGTCTAAGCACACCCTAAATTTGTCTTTTCAGTCAACTTTCAACAGTATACTACTAAATAATGAATTTTTTAAAAAAATCACTGATGCACTATAATGGAAATAGAAAATTTTCGTCAGAATTTCAGGAAACTTTTTCCGTATGTAAGATGTCATTCAATCCTGACTAATTTCAAATAATTAACTGTCATTTTGAGGATGGATCATCTACCACTAAATTACTCACATACAGACGCTCATCACTATAGGAGGAAGTCAATGATGATACTGTTTCCCAGAATGGGGTCATGAGTGCAGACAGATCCAGACAAATCCTTAGAGGCTATGTAGTCTCATTCCACATTGTACTTCCATTAGTATTAATAATAAAAGAATTAATCAAAATTAGATTAGCTCATATTTATTGAACATTTGTTATGTATCAGGGACATTGCTTTATTTACATGCTTTATCTTCTTTAAGTCTTGCAACAAGTTTACGAACTAGAAATTATTATTACTTCCATTGTAGATAAGGAAACTGAGCCATGGAGAAGTTAGTTTGCTTAAGGAAAGAGAGCTGGCGAGTGATGGAGCTAGGATCTGAACTTATGCTTGCCTGATTCTGGAGCCTGAAATCTCCCAGGGCAGTGGCTAAAGTGTAAATGGTAAATGCACCTGGCACATAGTGAGGGCTTGATATGCTACAATAACCAAATGACAGTGACTGCCACTACTGTGCAGTGGCTCGTTTTTGGAGGAGAATACCGAGTCCTGGACAGGTGAAGAAACTTGCTTCTGTAGCAAGGCTAGGACTGGAATCCAAGTCTTAACCTAATGATGCCTCCTCTTCATCAAAATGCCTCTTACCTTTGGGGCTGGATCAAGAATCCTAAATTCTGTTTGGCTCTGCAGCTAAATGGTTGTATCATTTTAGCCAAGTCTCTTAATTTCTCTGGGTCTCCTTACACAGAGAAAAGACATAATAGCTGTGAAAGGATTTCAACAAATTCAGAATCACCATAAAGAAATATTTTCCATTTGTCTAAATCATTGTATCTACAGATCAACCATAGGCTAAATGCAGAGAAATTGTGATTATGGGTCGAAAGTGATAAGCAACATCCATGTAATGTTTAAACCATAGATGTGATAACAATGACCTAATAACATTAAAAATGTCATTCAATTTTAGGGCTGAATCCATTCCATAAATAGTGCTTGCATAATGATACTTCCTAAAAAAGTATCCAAATATTGGTAATTTGTAACGCACTTTTTGTAGTCACGGAAAATGTATTTCTGATATATTGTGCACTTTCACTCTTAACTACGTATTTGTTCTCAAGATTTTTTTATCAAGCTAAGCCTTTTCGTCTTGATAGTGCTTTAATATAATTTACTTGAATATTACACACACATCAATGTATCAGTTTGATCATTTTTTCAGTTGTTTGGCAAATTTAGCAATGAAGTGCTCTGGATAATGTAAATTTGAGGAGAATTTAAGCTTTACCCTTAAAACGTCAAGTATTTTGTTTTAATAATTTTTGAAAGAGGTAGTTTAACGAGTTATGAGGCACAGAAGATGCTAATGATGAATGCAACCCTTTTTTGGTGACGAGGATCAGCGTTATTACTGATCACAGGACCGTCCTCTAGCTTTAGATGGCTCTTGTTAAATTGAAATTCTACTGGTCCCAGCCAGAATACACTCTGGTATTTATTTCTTGAAATAAGGCCATAATAGTCTGATCTTTCAATGTTTGTTTCTTTTTGGTGAAAATGGAATAGGAATACTATTTTACTGTTCGCTTAACTTTTTAATCAAGGACTACAACTTCTAAACTGTTATTTTATCTTCAATAGGAGCTTAACTTTTGCTGTCTTCACCAGTGACCTTTGATGCATCAATAAAAAAGACATTTTGGCATCAGTAACAATTTTGACCATTAAAATTCACTATGTACTCAAATCCTCCTGCCTCTATGACTTTGTGTAAGTCACTTCTTGTCTGTGTTTCAAATGCTCCATTTGTAATATGAAGAAGTTGGATTTAAATCCACTCCCAACCTAGTAGGAAAAGCAGTAAACAGCGACTCAGCAGACCAGGGATAAAATCCTAGTTCAGCGATGGTTTAGTTAGGTGAATCTGAAGGAGCTTCATCTCTGACTTTAGTTTCCCAGTCCCTGAACTGGAGGTGTTGGAATAGATTGCTTGAGGTCTCATCCTCTTGAGAATTCTTTGAGACAAAACTATAAATACTGAGATGCAAGTTCACAATGCTAGTCATGAAAAGATCTTTATAATCTCAAGATTTGGATTTTCTATAGTTATTGAATATTCCAAACTGCTGGGAGTTAGATAATCAGGGACTAGCTGTAATAATTTACAGTAATTCTTCCTGTTTGCATGAAAGATTTACCCCCATGTTAAGGAACAATTAGTGAAGAATGGAAAGAAGGGAAAATCATTCTCCCTCTCCCTATTCAGCCAGACGTATGCTTGGGTAGAGAAGAGAATTATGGAGTAAGAGTTAGGCTATGCTTAGATGCTGATGCTTGGAGAGAAGGAATTTTTTCTTAGTTCTCCATGAAATAGGCTTAGAAAGATTTCTTCTTCAATGCCTTTTCTTTCTTCTATCCATCCATCCATCCATCCATCCGTCCATCCATCCATCCATCCATCTATCCATCCATGGATTTATGGGTATGAACACGTATGCATAAATCTAAAGCATCTAATATTGATTGACCATCCACTGTATGCCAGGCACTGTGTTAAGGGCTGGGTGGAACATGGACACGAATGACACCTGCCCCACCCTCAAGTTAGCTGTTTTACTTATAACATTGTGATCTGCAAATATGAGTCATAACTAAGTTTATGAATAGTGAAAGCTATATAATAACCTAGAGCGCGTGATCTGTTTCATGAGGTTCTTCTAGCGTTTCTTGAAGATATTTGTATGGATGTGCATTAAGATTAAATTAAATGTTAATAAATTGCCACAACAGTAATTGCTATAGACCAGTGAGGGAGACAGATATTTTTACTAAAAAATTTACAATCCAGTATAATAAACTCTGTATTTGTAATTTAGGGTAGGGAAGTTGGACGAAAAATATACTCGATTTTGCCTGCACTTGGTTGGAGTGGATGTAGTGCGCATGAGAAGACATTTGTGGTGTCACTAAGGTGGAAACAGGGAACAGAAGCTCCCAGCCATCATGTGTCCAGTTCCAGCCCCATTAAAAGCTTATCCTCAAAGCCCCAGGACTCTGTTCTTAATGTTTGTAAATGAAGTGCGCTCCTCTTCATTGATCACAAAGGCATTCTTACTTTTCTTAACTGTTATATATCCTTATGTGTGTATATGTATAAACTGGATTGAAATAATCTTAGTTTGGGAAAGTCATTTTATTTTTGAATCTCAATTTTTCCGTTTGTAACATTATTATTATTGCTGATTATAATTATTGCTAAGAGGGTTATGGTGGATGTGAACTACTAAAGGTAAAATTCCTGACACAAAGTAGGTTCTTAATAAGTGGTTATTATTATTACGATGATGATGACATTATAATTATATATTTCCCTATTAGTCCTCCACACCCAAATGCTTGCTTATCAAGGCAAGGGCAATGTCTTATTCATGTTCGCATTCTCTGTGTCTAAAACAGTTTTCTCAACCACGGGCAATTTTGCACTGTCCACCAAGGGAGAGTTGGCAATGTCTGGAGGCATTTTTGGTTGTCACAATGGGTGGGGGTGCCACTAGTGTCTAGTGGGATGCTACTAAATGTCCTAAAGTGCACAGGATGGCCATCCCACAGTGCACAAAAAGCTTGTTGAATGAATACTGCATGGGTAGACAGAAGAATGAATGGATTGATGAATACGGGGAATATATCTGGCCTTAAATATGGTTAAATTTGTAGCAATTATGAATATTTGATTTAATCTCAATGCATATCCACATCTTTTTTTTTTTGGCGAGAAAGATTGTCCCTGAGCTAACATCTGTGCTAATCTTCCTCTATTTTGCATGTGGGATGCCACCACAGCATGGCTCGAGAGGCAATGTGTAGGTCCACGTCTGGGATTGGAACCTGTGAACCCTGGGCCGCTGAAGTGGAGCGCGTGAACTTAACCTCTACACCACCAGGCTGGCCTCCCTACCCATATCTTTAGGTAGCACTGGAACTACCTGAGTTATGAGTCATTGTTTTCAGATTACAATGTAATAAGAAATAATAGCTAATATTTGCTGAATGCTTACCACGTGGCAGTTATTCTATTGAATGTTTTACATGTATTATTGTCCTTAATCTTCACAATCACACTTTTGACAAATGAGGAAACTGAGCCTCAAAGAGGCTATTTGCCCAAGGATACTGAGTAATTGAAGGAACCAAGATTTGAGCCTGAGTCTGACTCCGATGCATGTTTGTGTAACCACTAAATTATTGCTTCTGGACACAGTAAACTGAAAGGACCAGTAACATCTAACTATAGTGCTGGTGTCATTACAGGACTTCAAGGATATTTATGATCATAACACAGCAGTAAGTTGTGTTCACTGGTGTTACCATATAGAAGCCTTTGAAAGATAAGATTTGGGCTCCAAATTAAAGGTTCTTTACCTGACGTTGAACATTTACCTAAAGATTCTTTATATAATGTTGAACAGCATTCATAGATTGATAGCTACTGATATGCCAAATATTTTCTGCACAACAGACTCAGAAATAAATTATTATCCAATAATTTGAATATATATTATGATACTGTTTCACATAACATCAGTAAAGCAGGAGCAATAACTAGATAAAGACATATTTCTAAGATCCATTGATTTTTTTCTTCCCATCCTTTGTGCCAACTTTTACACTCAGAAACTTGTTTTCAGAGATTGATTCCAAATCCCTTCCTCTTTTAGTGTTAACACAGCCTCTCTAGAATTTCAATTGAGTTTACTCTGAAGGATTGCAGAATCTGGCAAGCTTCCTGGGCCAATTTATTTGTGGGAAAAAAAGTGAAAATTACTGAAGGATTAGGGAACAATTGCGTTGCTGTGAAGAGCTGTAAGAAATCTACTCTTGAGTTGCCACAGGACAGGTGGGAAAGAGATGAGCTAGGAAAGGTCGACTTTACAGTACTGTAGTAATTTCATCTGTGGAAAATAAAATCTATAAGCTCTTTATGTATCTTTGCTCAGGATATTAGTGCAGAGCAGGATGGCACTTATGCTTTTGGCTCCTAATTTCTGCCTCTACTTCATTTGTCCATCTCCCCTCCTGTCCATCTGTCTGTCTGTCCGTCCATGCCCTAGCACATCCAGCCATCTCCTGCAGCTGGAAGACCCCAGTGGGCCTGGGCAGCAGACGCTTGGATTCGGCACTGCCCATCACAAGCAGTGCACGTCCACCTTCAGTAATTCATTGAACCATGCTATTGTTCTGTGTCCTCATCCATATCACGTGACACTGTCCACCTGAGAGAGTTGCCATTACAGTGAAATAAGAAGGCAGATAAAGAATTCAGAGCAGATTCTGAAGCATAGTAAGGGTGGCAATAAATGGTTATGATCGATGAAGGTGAAGTAGAGAAGGGATTTAAGGAGTAATTCTCATTAGAAAAAGCAAAAAAGAAAGGGAGTTTTCAGGTAGGGGCGAAAGAGGGGTGTTTTATGGAACTTCATAGTTCATTACCTGCAGCCCCCTTTTCACCTTTCTCTCCTTTCCTGCCGTCTCTACCATCTCGTCCCGGAAGGCCGATCCGACCATGGGGCCCGGGAGAACCGTTTGCTCCAGGGGGGCCTGGAGGTCCAGGTAAGCCAGGAATGCTACAGATATATCTTGGGGAGTAGCTGTCTCCTTTGAATTGACTACCCCGAGGTTGTCCACTTGCACAAATGGCAAAACTTGTAACATAGAGCAAGACAAACATCTTTGGCTCTGGAAGAGAAACACACGGACATAAATGCACCCTTTCAGGTGGGGGCTTTGGCATAATGGAACACAAGAATGGGCATTTGCAATAATTCACTCCAGTGCTCACCTTTCCATGCATGTATAAAAACCCTGTTTATGCTCATAATTCCATTGGAAACTATTAACACATCATTGATAGAGAGTTCTCAGTGTCCCACACAAAAGTTGGTGGAGATGAAGGGTTGATTAAAAAAATTTCAAAATAAATCCCTTTATTACATTTTTTTCCTGCAGGAATCAATGACGGACTTTGAAAACAACATTTTCTTTTTGCCAAAGAATGCGTTTTTTTGTAGAAAATTAGTGATCAAATGATAAGATAAACATCATGTTATTCTCACCTCTTGGAGATAATTACTCTCTACATTTTGATATATACATCCTTCTGGCCTTTTTCTCTACGCTATGGAGAAAAGTGATATCATATCATTCCTGCAATTCTTTAACTTTTTTCACTTCACAATGTAGCATGAACATCTTCCCATGTCAAAAATTATTCATAACATTAAAAAAATAGTTGCATTTGTCTCTATTATCCTTTGTGTACACAATTCCCCGATAGACACATTTGTTTCCAGTTTTTTGCCAATATAAGCATCTTGCTAGACATCCTTATATTTAATCTTTGCATGCATCCATCGTCATTTTCTCAGAATTTATGGGCTTTTTAAAGCATGAGAAAGGAAGTGCCGTTTTCAGGAAAGCCATGTTTTTCACTTGATAATCATGTGTAATGCCAATTAGTGTTAATTGGAGTACTGTGCATGTCCTGAGGGGTGGTGGTCTCAAACTTTAATTTAAAATCTGCAGGATATAATGCTGTGGTGTCCCATTAAGCGGTTAGCACTGGGGCTCAATTAAAGGGCTGAGTGAAATTAAACTGTGCATGGTGCCAGGTGCTCCGAGTGAAGCAGACAACAGGTCTCTTCATCTAACAGGACTTGGGTTTTCTCTCCACAAAGCCTGGCAGCTGAGAATGATGGATAATTTATTAGCACGGCATTTGGCATGTAAGCTGAGGGATGGGCAATGTAGGCTGGGGACACCTTATTTTCTAGGCTAAATTGTCCTTAGGATTAGCAGTTTCTTGGATGGGAGAAGGTATACACATGGTTCTGGGGTGGTGTAAATGAGTAGTTTTTGGAGAGTTGGACCTATGCTTTAAGAAGAAATCTGTACAATGCTTAATGTTATATGCCTGGCATATACTCACCCAAAGGAAATAATCATAAAATGCGAGAAAAGCAATCAGATGGAGTTCCTTTGTGTTTTTTTTTTTTTTTTTGACAATCACAATAGAAAACTAACCAGGCACACTGTACCACTTTTACGTTACCCATGGGGAAATTGCAACATCTTGGAATTAGATGCAGAAATTTGCCAGAGCACAGGAATGACGAACTGAGAAAAACACAGCATGCACTTGTGCTTTGAAATAAGTCTGATTCCTAGAAATCTTGTTGGTAAAAAACTGAAGCAACTTATCCAAATCTAGGCTCTATGTCTTTGACCAAATCTTCATGTTACCAGTGACCCTCATGCCCCCTAAAAAAATCAAGGAGATCGTTTTTGCCATGCTCTATCTGCTTGACTTGTAATGCAACACAAGCTCAATGTTACTGATCCTATTGCTCAATGGGGATTAAGGCCCTGTCTGAAAAGCCCACCAGATCTGACAAAGATATCAGCCTTTCCAAAGCACCTCAGATGAAAGGAAATGGGAAGCACATTCCATCCATCCCCCCCGCCACAGTTAAACAAGATGTCGTGATTAAATTGCTGGTTGTTCTCCCTGATTAGAGGAGGCTTTGAGAAGGGATTTGAAAGAGGAGACCATGTTCACAGAAGACACTCATAAGAAGACTTTTAACTAGACGTGGGATGAGATGCAGGAGCTGGTTCTAGGAGGGGCTTGAAATTATCTGGAGACAAGGAGCTTTGGGCAGTGACGTCTCAGACACCGTGATGGAGATGCCGGAAACACAAACATGCCAATAGTCGGGGATCAGTCCGTGAAGGAGTGTGTGCTAAGGATCCAGGTGATGGTGGATAAAGGAAGCAGAAATTTTAAAGATTTTCTTGAAAGAAAGGATATTTTCACAAGTCAGGCAAAAAGGTGCTCAAAGAAGGAATAAATTAAAGCAACTGAAACAGATGCATTCACTGAACAAATTGTTTGCATTTCATTGACAAAGGCATAAGGATATCGTTTGTACAGTAGTCTAAACGCTGGAAGTATCCCCAGGTAGAATTTTCTGAAGGGCATTCAGAATGATTTTCCATTAACGACCCTCATCAGAATTGAGGAACAATATGTTGTGGTGGCTGATGCACAATGATGGCATGGTAGTGAGTGCCCAAGAAAGTCTTGGGACTCAGTTTATCAGAATGATAAAAGAGTGTGGATTATAATGGGAAACTACTGTGGCATCTCCCTGTAGTGGTTCTCCATTTCACTTAAAAATCAAAAGCCTCGTGCTGCAGGGTCTACAAGGCCCTATTGATTGGGCACCCACCCACCTTACTTCCTTGACTTCATCTTTCACTACTCTCCTTCCTACTTTCTCAGCCCTGGTCGCACTGGGTTTCTTGTTGTTCCTCAAAGACACTAGGAATGCTCTGGCTTAGGGCCTTCACACTGTCTCTTCCCTCTGTCTAGAATTCTGTTCCCCAAAATGTCTGCATGTCTCACTCCCTCATCTCCTTCTTTAAGACTTTGCTCAAATGGCACCCTCTCACTGAAGCCAACTCTTACCACCTGATTTAACATTGCGATCCACCTACTTCTACCTCCTGACCCTCCCTCATTCTGCTCTGTTTTTTCCTGCTCTCCGTGGTACTCATCACCCTCTAACTCACTATATTGTTCTTATCTCTATTATGCTTTCTTTATATTGCATGTCTCCATGTGATAGATTGTGAGCTCCATGAAGGCAGAGATCTTTGTCTTAGGCATTGATGTTTCCCACCACCTAGAACAGTGTCTGCCACAAAAAACTCAGGCTGGGAGCTGAGGAGTAGATTTTGGTGGGGGGAAGTGTGGTTTTGGGGAAAAAAAAAACTAGAGAGAAATTATGGAATATGAGAAGATTATAAGAGAAAGAGGAAAGAGAGGATTTAAAGAAATCTTCCTGAAGTCTATGGATCCCTGTTGGAGTGTTTGGGAAATACAAATAAAAGACTTGAGTTGTTTTCATTTTGCATAGTCTAGAGTATTTAAAATATTTTAAATATTTTTTGTACAGAGAGAACATGCACATTCATAAAGTTAAATAAACAGAGTATGCAATAAAAAGTAAACCTTCTCTCTTTCCTCCCAGTCTTCTAGACATCCAGTTTCCCACTCTAGAGGCAACTGCTGGTGCTAGTTTCTTGTGTATACTCCTTCCCCATGTTGGCATGCTGTATGCAGCTTTCTGCACCTTGCTTTTTCACTTTGGTGATCTTTCCATATCAGTACATATGGAGCTGCCTCATTCTTTTTTAGTGGCTATAGAGTATCTATTGTACAAATGAGTTGTATTTAACCAGTCTCTTATTCGTGGATGTTTGGGATATTTCATTCTTGTGCTATTATAAACAATACTTCAATGAATACCCATATATACATATGGAGATATATACATACACACACACGCACATATATGTTCTCTGCACATGTTTTATGAAATGAGCAACATATAGCTTTTTTTCGGTTTTTTCCCTTTGTGTATTTAAAAAATATCTTTATCATGAAAACATTTTTTGAGGTTCAATTTATTGTTTTAAAAGGCCTTCCTCTCTTCAAGATAATAAAAGGGATCATCCCACTTTTCTTTCAGTTCTTTCATTGTTTCATTTTTTCACACTAGAAATTTGACCCATTAGAATTTAATTTTGATAAAAAGTGTGAGATAGAGATTCAACTTTATATTTTCAACACCTCATATTGAATAATTCGTGCCTCACCCCTTGCCCCTGGTTTGCAATGAATTTGGTTATTTTGGCTGGGATGGAACTATATGGGTCATGGTTTTATAAACATTAAGATATTTTTTCACAGCTTTATTGAGATTTAATTTATGCAGCATAAAATTGGCCATTTTAAAATATACAACTCAGTGTACACCATAATCTAATTTTAGAACATTTTCAAAACTACAAAAAGAAACCTCTTACACATTAGCAGTCACTCCCCATACAAAACACTTTGAAGGATTGCATGGAATTGTGCAAATTTATGCAGAACGTGTGCTAAAAGGCATTTTTTCCACCGTCGTGCTCCTTTAGAGTCAGAAAATCAAAGCTCTGGACATACTGTTAATCTTGCACAGATTGGTCCTGGATGTTAATTGTAAATGGCCATCTAGCCAATTCTTCTCTAAGGATTACAAAGTAATAGGTTTTTAGTTTTTAAAACACTTATTACAAAATTTACTTTGTGATACAGTAGATTTCAGAGCCTTCATGTTAAGGTATATTTTGAGTCTGTAAGGCACGAGTGTATTATATACTGTTTCATAATTTTTTTTAATCACAGAACATTTATTTTTGCTAAACTAGCCGTGGAAAACACTTGGAAAAATACTGAATAATTCAGTACAAAGAATGAACTTCTAGAAAATATGTCCACACATCAAGATTTCTTTGTAAATAGCATGTTTTTTCTTTATTTTCAAAGTAAAATAAACCCCTTCATATATGGTCAACTAATATTTGACAAGGGAGCTAAAAATTCTCAGTGGGTAAAGGATAGTCTCTTCAGTAAATGGTGTTGGGAAAACTGTATATTCGCAGGTAAAAGAATTAGATTGGAGCCCCATCTTATACCACTCAAAAAATAAAACACGAAATGGATTAAAGACTTAAGTGTAAGAGCTGGAACCATTAAATCTCTAGAAGAAAACATAGGGAAAATACTCCTTGACATTGGTCTTGGCAACAACTTTTTGGATACAACACAAAAGCGCAAACAACAAAAGCAAAGTAAACAAGTGGGACTACATCAAACTAAAAAGCTTCTACACAGCAAAGAAAACAATCAACAAAATGAAAAGGTAACTTATGAAATGGGAGAAAATATTTACAAACTGTATATCTGATAAGGGGTCAATATCCAAAATATATAAAGATCTGAACAGACATTTTCCAAAGAAGACATACAAATGACCATCAGGTATATGAAAAGGTGCTCAGCATCACTAATTGTCAGGGAAATGCAAGTCAAAACCACAATGAGATACCACCTCACACCTACTGGAATGGCTATTATCAAAAAGACAAGAAATAACCAGTGTTGGTGAGGGTGTGGAGAAAAGGGAACCCCGTGCACTGTTGGTGGCAACGTAAATTTATACAGTGGCTATGGAAAACAGTAGGGGGTTCCCTCAAGGAATTAAAAATAGGACTATTATATGATCCAGCAATCCCACTTCTGAATATACATCCAAAGGAAAGAAAATCGTTACCTCAAGGAGACACCTGCACTCCTGTGCTCATTGCAACATTATGCACAATAGCAAAGACATGGAAGCAATCCAAGTGTCCATTGACAGACGAATGAATGAAGAAAATGCGGTATATATATATATATATATATATATATATATATATACACACATATATATATATACAGTGGAATATTATTCCACCATAAAAAGGAAAGAAATTCTGCCATTGGTGACAACATAGATGAACCCTGAGGGCACTATGCTAAGTGAAATAAGTCAGACAGAGAAAGACAAATCTCACTCATACGTGGAATCTAAAATGCTTAACTCATAGCGATAGAGTAGAATGGCAGTTACCAGAGGCTGGAGGGTGGGGGCAATGGGGAGATGTTGGTCAAAGGATATAAATGACCAGTTATAAGATGAATAAATTTTGGGGATCTAATGTACAGCATGGTGTCTATAATTAACAATGCTATATCAAATACTCGAAACCTGATCTTAAATGTTCTCACTATGCACACAAAAAAGACAGTTACGTGAGGTGGTGGACGTGTTAACCAATCTTACTGTGGTTATCATTTTGCAATACATATGTGTATCAAAGTTTCACATTGTACATCTTAAACTTACACAATGCTATGTGTCAATTATATCTCAATAAAGGTGTAAAAAATTAAAAATATAGTTAGTAGAAATGTAAAATGATGTAGCTGCTGTGAAAAACAGTATGATGATTCCTCAAAAAATTTAATATAGAACTACCATATGATCCAGCAATTCCACTTCTGAGTATATACTCAAAAGAGGTAAAGGCATGGACTCAATCAGATTTTTGTACACTTATGTTCCTAGCAGCATCACTCACAGGTGCCAAAAGGTGGAATCAACCCAAGTGTCCATCAACAGATGAATGGGTAAACAAAATATGGCATATACATACAATAGAATATTATTCAACCTTAAAAAGGGAGGAAATTTTGACACATACTGCAACGTGGATGAATCTTAAAGACTCTGTGCCAAGTGAAGTCAGCCAGTCACAAAAGGACAAATACTGTATGATTCTACAATATGATATATCCAGAACAGTCAAAATTTTAGAGACAGAAAATAGAGTGGTGGTTGTCAGGGGCTAGTGGGGGGAAAGAATGAGGATGTGGTGTTTAATGTATGTAGAGTTTCATTGGGGAAGGTGAAAAAGTTCTGGAGATGGATGGTGGTGTGATGGGTGTACAACAACGTGAATGTACAAATGTCACACAACTGTATACTTAAAAATGGTAAATTTTACGTTAAGTATGTTTTATCACAATAAGAAAAGTTAAATAAGAAAATAAAAAATGAATTGGGATGGAGGGAGCATGCCAGTATTCTTATTACTGTGCTAAGTGTTTTAAAGATGTCTTTACTTAATCCCCACACCACTTTTATGAAGTAGGTGCTATTATCCTCACTTTACAAATAAGAAAATTGAGACTCTGATGGCTCAAGTTCACACAGCCATAGAAATGGCACAGGCAGAATCTGAAGTGAGTTCTTGAGTTTTCCCATACGTCATGTAAGGGAAACTGTAACATTACTTCATTACAAAGGGCTGGGCTTGATTATTAATTCAAGTTGAATATGTGTTTTGCCTGGAAATCATTAGGAAGAGGATAGGTAACCAGGGCAGCCAAAACGAGACAAATCCTTGGCCTGCAGAGGAGGAGATTTCGCAATAGCTGGCTTTGTCCTTCTCTAACTGCACTGGGAGTGGCACCGTGAGCAAGACAGGATGGGGACCTTAGGTGTTCACATCCCATTCCTTCTGTTTTATGCTTCCTCGGCTCTGCCTCTGGGGCTCCAATTATCCTCCTCAGAACTGCTTCTCCTGTTGGCCATGAAATATCTTCCCTTCTATCACTACTCACCCTGCAAGACAACACACCCGTATTGTGTTGTAGCTGTTTACTCGCTTTTTCTCCACCAAAATATCAACTGTGTCCACAACATTTAGGACAAAGACTGAGCCTGCAGTAGAGGCCCATCAAAGGTTGAACAGAGAAAAATGTTTATTCATCGATATTTGTTTTTACCAACATATAAAGCTTTGGCTGCTTTATGTAAAGTGCTATGATGGCATAACAGTAACAAATACTGACGTTTGTCGAACATTTTATAGTCTACAGAGCAATGTTAAGTCCATATCATCCTCCTAAAGACCCTTTTGTGGCAGGTTGGACAGGGAACCAATGTCCAGAGAAGCTAGGTAACTTGTCTATGGCCACAAAGCGAGCGTCAGATCAGAGATTTGAACCCAGATCTTCAGTTTCATGGATTCTTCTTACAGAGCTGTCTGTTTAACAAACTCAGAAGCTCCCGTAATGAAACGGGCCATTGCATCTACATTTGCCAAAGTGCTAAAAAAAGAGTAAACACCATACCTTGCTCTGGGTTGGTGGGTTGCTCCAGGATTCTAAATCCACAAGAGACTGAGGATCTTTCATGAGAGCTCAGCGAAAAACTTGCTTTGGTACCAGACAGAAAAACCGATCCAAGTTCTCAGAGGTTTCCAAATAGTTGTGCTAAAAATAATTTTCTCCTTTAGTCCCAAAGAGCCAGAGGCCCTGGAAGTCATTCATCGGGTGAGGCTCAATCAGGGGCCGGTCAAAATCACAGTTTTGTTTGAGATAAACCTTAAGTGCCTGCTTTCTTTGTTAAGTTGAGAGGCACCTCCATCTCTGTGTGTCGTGCCCTCTTTTTCAGATTTGTTTACTTAATTTTTCCCCTCTTCATTTGTTTTCCACTGAGTGGATGTTTTGGGAAAGAAATTACTCACTGAATGGAAATTAGTTGTTAACTTAGAGAAAGGAATCATTTCCTATTTGAGAATTTTTAAGGTAGAATCTTCAGATTCTGGACATTGGGTGGTGTCTCATGGAATAACAAAAAAGATGTCCCCATTGGTAAGTATATCTGGAAAATGGCCCCTCATCCTACGTGCTGCCAGACGAAGGAGGGTTCTGAGTACTGCACTGATGTTTTCTTTGTTCTCTGCTGAATGGATAAATGATTGGGTATTTTTAGTAGACTAATACATCTTTGTTGCTGTAGAGATCTGATCATAACAATTCAAGAGGCAGAATGGTTCTCCAAACCTTGTGACGACTCATCCTTGATGCAATCAATTTCTTTGTTTCCTTCTGATATGCATGACTTATATCTCCTTAGCAACAGCAATATATAATTCATGATGTCATTTATGGAAATCATGCTTTTATCTTGCTTTCCCCACCATTCTTCTCAAGCAATTGAGAGTGCTAAGTGGAAGAAATATTTCCAAAGTTAGGGAAGTGGACCCTGATCACAAATTTGACCAAGAAAATTGGTGGGTCCCCATTCCGATAAGCTTTAGCTTCCCTTAGCTATCCACCCTCCCATCTGGAGGAAATGATCTTTTGAATTTGTTGGCCAACAAAACCGAAATGTCATCATAGGGTAGCACAGACAATGCCTTGAGCATAGAAGCAAGGCACAGTTTTTTGCTAAATTAAAGTAGGATCTTAATCAGATAGAGTCTCTGGGTTTGTTTTCTGATCCTTGAAATAAAATGGTAATCCTTGGTTATTTCTAGGTTTTCGCATAGTTCTTAATATTCTCTAACAAAGTGCTTATGCCTGATGAGATGAAATTTAAAAAAATGACATCAACCACTTTTATACATTTCTACACTTGTGTGCAGGTGGAGATACAAGTTACCTCGAAGGAGATATTTTGTTGCTATTGAGAGAAGTCACTCAAGTGACTCTTTCAGGGCTGTACATAAAATGAGGCACTTGGTAGTGGCTTGGTGAAGGTTTTCCTCCAGGGACCCTTGACTATAGAGCAATTGAGATTATTTGCTTAAAGCATCCAGGGCCTTGTGGGAAGGAAGGAACCAAGGATCCAGCTCCTTCTCTCCATGATGAAAATTTAGGGAACTTAGTTATGGACTACAGGGCTGGCCTGGTCCAAAGCCTGCTGTGAAGAGAGGACACTGTAGACCACAGAATGGAATTGTCCAGGAGGTAAGTGAGAGTCTGGGCCAAAAGGCCTAAAGGGTTTTGGGATGACTGGTTTTGGTACACTTTATGAATGAGGATGAGTTTGTCTGCTTTCAGTCTTTATGTCACAGCAGATATCCTTTGGGGGGCAGTGGTTGGACACATGATGGTGAATTAAAAGGGTCATTGTTTTGAAGCTTAGTAAGGGGGCAACACTGGCCAAGCCAGGACTTCCTATACAAATGGGCAAGCATCTCCTGGACTGTGTACAACTATTGTTCAACAGTGTCACCATTTAGTGGCAGCTAAAGCAACGGGGAGAGTGGACAATCCAAGGTTTTGCTTTTCACTTTCTACCTGGGTTGAAAGTAGGAAAGACCCCTTTTGAACCAAGCAAGCCCCTAGAATTCTTAGATCATTCATAAAGGGGAGGATTTAGATCTTGAGTAGTCTTCCTGCTAATAGAAGCAAATGAGATCCTAACCAGTAATTGAGAGAAAAAAATGGCATGACTGTATTTGAACTTGAACCCACAAGGCGGGTCACTGAGGCTCAATGCTTTCGTTAGTTCACTCCTAAGGTAACATCACAGAGCAACCCTCTGTCACGTGTGAGACAGCCTTGACCATTTGACTTAAAGGAATCTCCCCATGCTCCATGTTGAAGTCTTTGAAAAGGCTGAACTAGAATCCCAGTCCTTACAAGCTTAATTTCAGGTGTGCCAGCCTTTGGATATGTTCATTTATTTATATACAAGTGATAACTTCTTCTTAATGGGCTTTTCTCATTCTCTTCCTTGGAATAGCACAATCTCTGTCAATGAGCTTAGAAATGGAGTTTGCTGACCTCCAAAAGAGATAGAGGTATACTTATTTTTTCTGCCTTAACTTGGCCAAGCGTTGATACAATTTATGGGTATCATATTTGCTTTTTCTGTGTCATTCACAACCTCCTTAATTTCCCTTTAATGTTTGATGATAAGGTTTCTTGTATTATTAAGGTACCGTGGTATTTTTTCTGTCCTGCAATACTTGATTTTTTTCTGTGTTCTTTTTCATCTCAGATAACTTATTATAATCTATTTCTTTCTGGATTTATTCTTCTTCACAGAGAGAACAAACCTTTCAAAGTGTTTCCTTGAGCATTCATACCTCAGCTGTTACTAAAGCTTGTTAGTGCCTATTTCATTCAGTTATTTTCACACTTATTTTAGAGACAGTGATGAAAAATGGTCGTAGAAAAAATATTCTGAAAGGAGAATTAGCTTAGAGTAAAAAATCCAATTCCATTTTTACCTGCCACTCACCCCAAGCCCAAGGTCTTATTCTGTCTTTCCAAGAAAGGTAATGTTTTCCTCTCAGCTTGTGCTTTTGTTTCCCTGTAGCCTTAACTCACTTTTCAAATGAATTCAGTTCAATCTAGACCAATCCAATCAATATTCACAGAGCATCCAACAATGTGCTAGTAAATCAGCTCTCAAAAAAAGGTTTGGATTTGTAGCTTTGTCAATTTCCTTGGTGTAAATACTCCCATTGTGGCCAATTTCAAGCCACCAACCTCGCCTTTGATGAATGCAAAGTTGGGAGGGTATGTGCAGAATTGGCTCTTCTAGGGGGTCTAAGCTGACAGCACACTGCTGGTAATATATATAAGCCATTTTGCTAGGTAATAGAATTATTTACAAATGAAGATTCTAGCCGATATATAATGAGCACTTATGTGCTAAGTTATTATCTTACATCATTACCTCCTTTAATCCTCTCCATAACCTCCATGGTGAGCAATTTTATCATCCTCCTTTTAGAGACGAGGAATTTAGGCAGTCCGATCCACAAGTGGCCCACCTAACCACTGTATCATGCACCTCCCTAGGGTGTTGCTAACTTTACAAGAGCAGGTTCCTGCATCCAAACAGCTTGCAGACAGGTGGAATGCGTAGCTGACTCCTCCTCCTCTTCCCCATTGCCCTGGGTTCTGTCAGGAATCTAATCTCCTCTTTCTGGCCTCAGTGTCTTCCGTATATCATCTCCTCTGGCTTGCAACTCCCTGCTAGCCAGGTCCTTCCCATACCTCTTTCTTCGTATGTTCACATTTGGCCTCTATATGCATCGGTTTCTCCAGAAAGTCTCCCTGATGCTCTCAACCAGGTGTAGCCTTATCTTCCTTCAAACTCTCCTAGCACATTGCTTGGACCTCTCTCATGCATCTTAGCTCACTGATTCTCAACTAGGTCTATTGAATCAGCATACCAGTGGATTAGGTCTAGGCATTTATATTTTTCAAAAGCTCTATGAGTAATTCTGATGGGTAGCCAGGCTTTGGGAATCTTTGCCTTATCTATTCTTGCTGAAATGATGCCCCATTTGTTAGTCCTTCCAAAACAATTTTAGTGATACAAATCTGGTTTTCTCCTGCTTTCATCCTGTTCTTTTATTCATTGTGTCATCACATATTTATTGAGCTATTACTATATGCTAGATGCTGAATGCTTGATCTTATATCAATGAAGGGCAAATATAGAGCTCTTATAGAGGAAAAGTCCAGTGGGGAAGACAGATATTCATCAAATAATAATGGATCCATGTTTAACAGGATGTTAATTGAAACCTCCCATCATCTTGGAGCTTCAGTTGGGACCCATTAGAGAATAATGGGCAATCAGTGCCCACACATCCATTTAATAATTTCTAAAAACCAGCTGGATCTGACACTGACCATTGTTCACTTTCAAGTCACATGAGAGAAAACCAGAAGTTCAAAAAGGATTAACGGTTGAAGAGAACCATCAAGATAGAGAGCTATTAGCTGATAAGGGAGTGCTGAAGCTCTCACCCTTCCCTCGCTATGAGGGAAGGAAGGGAGGAATGACTAGTAGGAATGGCAAGCCAAGTGGCAAGGACCCTAAGAGATCACTGATAGTATTAGAGGTGTCTGCAAGAAAGAAGCTGTTTATCTTGTTCTCTAGTTGGATGTTAACTGAGCTGAAACTGAAAGCCTTTCAGCGTGGGATCAGAGAAATGTGATAAACAAGTCATGGAGGAGCTTGATTTCACCCCTGGAGTTTGATATCTTACGTGCTCATAGAAACTAGAGAATTCTCAAGACAGAAGACTGTCTGGGGAAGAGAGAGCAGTGAAGGGGTAGCTATTGGAGAGACAAGGACATATGAGTTTCCTAAGAGGCAGGTGGTACTGAGGATGGCAGCTGGGATTGGCCATCTAGATGGCACCTCTTGAACCCGGAAGGAATCCTCCTAGAGTAAGGAAGCCAGTAAGAAGCAGTTGAGTATACATCTCTGAGTACAGAAGTTGAGGCTGGTATGGAAGCAACGCAAGGCATCAGCCAAGGAGTGAACCGCATACATCAGGGAACTGTACAGTGTGGAGGCCCCTCAGAAAGCCTCTGACGACCCTGGGAATGTGTTCAACCAGAGAGAGCCAGCATTTGAAGACCTGGGGTACACCTGTGTGTGCCAGGAGAGAATCAGGCAAGCAGCGTCTGTTAAGTAAAATTACTTTGGCCATGTTTTTCTAATTCTTCTACCCTCTGATCTGACTCTAGACACACCCAAAGTGGAAGGAGGGGTAGGAGATGGGGGAGGAGTGGAAAAGTATAGCATATCCTGAGCTGAAGCCATGGAAAGGAAACAAGCTTTGTTTTGGATGTGAAATTGAAGTTTTGATTTTTTAATATCTGAAAATGAGTCACAATTGACTAATGAGATTGTTCGTGTAACTGAAAGTGATCAGAAAGCTAAGGAATTTGCCTGAGATGTCATGAAAGGGCAGGGAAGAAAGAGCCAACAGAATCTGACTAGAAGAAGTGACGAGAGAAAAATGAAGTTG